TGGGAAATTGGTTTCCAATGTGCTTTCACATCGGCATCGCATCGCAAAAATCGAAAATATTCGCGTCCGCGTGAGTATTTCGGAGTTTAGACACTTGCATTATCGAACAAGGATTCCGAATATAATTTAAATGTTTTCCTAGCTCCTATAGTTTAAGCTGTGTAGGGGGAGGGGGTGTGTCATCGATACTTTCGTTTCGGCATTAGAGAAGAAAAACCCTCACTTGCATTCATTCGGTGCTTCATCCGGACATTAATGGGTTTCTGAATAAGGAAAATGCTGAAAGGCTGTGAAAGGGCAGAGGAGAACGTAGAGCAAAGAAAATGAAACTGTTTCCTTCACTGACAGATGAAGTAATTTATTATGAGATTTACCAGAATCGGGATAACATTCTAGCCGTACAGCCTTCTCCTCAATCTTTCACTGAACTCCGAGACGCGAAATACGGAATTATCATCTCGGTCCACCCTTGACCCCGCAGGGGATACCTCCTGACGGCGCCGAAGGTTCTCCGCTCCAACTCCACCGAGCTGATCTGCCTCTCCCTCTTCAACTTGGAAGGGCCGGGGAACGCCAAGCTCACTCTGACGGGGGAAGGAGAGGATGCATTCGCGGCCACCCTCGACCATTCATTCACCAAAGGTATTCCCCGCCCCCGCATTCAGCGCGAGAAGCCCAAAGGAGTCGCGTTGGAATGACGGCCTTGAGATGACCTTGAAACAAAACTCGATTGGGTCAGGGACTCTTTAGCAGTGTCGAATTTTCCTTGTATCATTCAATGGATTGCATTGCTTTTAATGACAATGGCATGAAACTATATTGCAAATCGGCTCGAAAATCATTCCAGCGAGGCATTCATTCCAATTCAACGCAAAGGATAAGTTTCATCACCATAAAGGAAGGTCGCGCGAAAAACTCTCTAATTCAATAAGGCAAAAATAAAACATGGTCCGATCGTCTCTAACACTCTCCAAGGACCAGGAGAGCGTGAGCACGAGATGGACATCACTGAAAGACCTACGCAGATGGAATAGGAGCGATAATCAAGGACATGGGAAAATAATCCTGAATCTCCCGGGCCATTCAGTGGGTGCCACAATATCCCCACCCATATTGAATTTCCATTATTGAAAGTTATTCTATCGTTCTGTTTAGAATTGGAGCTGATGGACTAGCCACTTCTCAGTTATTAAATCAATCTAAGTAGTCATATATTTTGATTAGAATACGTAAAAAAATGTAGAGTTGGGGATGGAAACAAGTACCTATGGGAGCGGGCCGTCGCATGGCATTTCCTGCTCTTTGTTCAGCTCATTCCTATTGCTGTACATGCAACACCATGCATTCTCATCCTCATGGATTGGCATGGGATCCTACAGGGAGCAAGGAATGCGTGGACTTTCCCGTGCCTAACGTGCCGGAGCAGAGGGGGAGGTTGCACCTCCAACTCACCCTGGATGGGGTGCCGGACTACGTTGGGAACGAGAGCGAGTTGGTGAACATCAGGGAATACCAGAACCTCCTCTTTGTTCAAACGGACAAGTCCCTTTATCTTCCCGGGCAGGACGTCCGGNCTTTATCTTCCCGGGCAGGACGTCCGGTTCAGGATCCTCGTGCTCGACGCTGCCCTCAAGCCTCTTGACGACCAGGTTCGAATTCTGAGAGTCAATTTGTGACGATTGGTGCCATGAGATATTGGGTATTTGCTCAAAGTAATTATCGGTAGACACCTGGATGGACTCTTTCCTTGAAGGATCATCTATGATGTCTCTTACTGAATGTGAAATGGCACATGGCAAGATATAACATCATGGTAAATGCCAAGTCTTCGAGATGACAGAAATAATCGGAGTGACAGGGCAGTTTCAGATTTCATTCTGATTCAAAGCGTTTGTCAACCAAAAGCCATCAGCATTGTACATAATGCTGTGCTGGAATGCCCCTATCTTACGCCGGAAATCGTAAGAATGAATAATCCCACGTGATGAATGCAGGTGAGGGAAGTCTGGGTGGAGGATCCGTCGGGGATCCGAATAGCGCAATGGACCGAACCGTCTTCCACAGCCGGCTTCATCCAGCTTCAATTCCAACTCGCCCAGGAGCCGCCGTTGGTCAGTTTTATTTTCGTGGCACCATAAGGGTATTGAGAATTCAGACTTGGTGAGAGTTTGTATAATTTCATTAATTATAAGTTTGTCATGACTTTTTAATTTAATGGAAAGAGCTCTTGTGGCCTTACTTATTTCTACGTCCCATTCGTTAGTTCCTCGGTGTTATAGAATACATCGTAAATCACGATTCTCTATATTATGTATATTTCACTCGGGTTGGGATATCCCGGTATGTGCAATAGGGGAACTGGAGAATCAAGGTGGACGCGAAGGGGAGGAAACGCGAGGAGGAGAAACAATTCGAGGTTTCCGAATACGTCCTCCCCAAGTACTCAGTGGACATCCAAGCACCCAAAGTCTTACTTGGAGATGCATCCACCTTGGACCTGAACATCTGCGCAAGGTTTTAACTTTATCTCCCCTCTATTTCTCAGAGGTGTATTTTTCGGGGGGTTGAGGAGTAGGAGGAGAGAGACCGCTCCTGGCAGCCCTTCTGTCAGCCATAGAAAATGCATGGCGCCCCCTTTGATGGAAAATTCCGTCCCAGAGAATCTTGGCTGAGCAACCCCTCCCCCTCTCCCCTCTCCTCCCTTTTTCTCCTCCCCCCGACCTTCTGGTGCCGTCCCTTCCTTGGCTTAGGATCCTGAATTTACTAATGCAAATTCTCTTCGATGTGGTCAGAATGCGTTGTCATCCATGATCTCGTTTCAGTTTTCGTGTTGGTAAAAAGTAATCCTTTATTGCTGAACTGTAGCATAAAGCCTACATACTTGGCAATTTAAAAATTAAAAATTGCATTTACACCAAGTCTCACATTTAACGAATAAACAGTAGATAGGATGGCGGTTGCATTTAGAGAATATAGCATGTCCATTGCGATGCTGCTATACTCTAGGTCGCTGAGGAGGAGCCTCTACTCCACCCTCCATTCCGCTATAGACAAAAGTGAAAACATACTGCTTGTGGTACAGACTTCGTAACGAAACTAACCTGAAAAAAGCTAAGCCTAATACCTATTTTACGGAATATCCTGAAGTATCATACTAAACAGCTTAAAGGAAAATGAAAGGATCGCCTATATTTCCAACCCACTAGCATACGTTGGTTGAAATAATTCTTATCCATCTTAAGTTTCAATGCGCCCATAAATTTTCCCAAGCTAATGAATATAATTTGACAAGTCGATGGGAATCATGTAATGTACATGTGCATTGGATCATGTTCATGGGCAACTTTTCATAGACGATTCAGTTACTGTGTGATTCTCGGCGTGCTCGAGTGTGGCGAAATTCAATCGTTTTTAGTCTGACATTGATGACACATAGGGGCATGATGGTGGGTGTGGGCGACTATCTGCATCGACGGCCGTCCAAGCCACCATAGATTCGCTAGTGGAATTGGAATGGGGCAGTGGTACATACATGAGAGACATATAACAATATATTTATAGAGTAATAAAGGTGCATATGTATTATATAAAGTATTCCCGAGAATATACCTATACACTGGTAGGTTAATGATAATATTCATGTATTAATGTTTATACCAATACGCGTGTAAACTTCTTTATCTTTAGAGAATTTCCGGAATTTCTCAAAATGTACTAAATTTTGTCATTTGCATATTAGAAAATATTTGCCTAAGGAAGAGTACAATGGAAATGATGCAATTTTTAAATTACCAAGTGGATGCTGGAGGCTCAGAAATGTAGGCGACCTTTTTTAAATGCTATGGTTAGTCTGTATTAAGCAAAAGGAAGTAATTCCTGATACTTTTCAATTTTGCACTGGGCGAGTTTTTTAATTTAAGATTTCAACCCGTCAGTTTAATTTTACAGAGATAATTTTCACCTCTGTGGATAATGAGTGCCTCGCACCTCTCGATTCCGGCTGTGTACCTCAGGTACACCCACGGGGGTGCAGTGGAGGGTGAGCTGATCCTCAGGGTCGAGCCGAAGATCTACGTGTTGGACTACCTCAAAGACAATTACCCTGGGTTCGTGAAGGGGTTCGGTATCGATATGGACAAATACACTGCCGTCTTTCAGCTCCAAGTGAGTGGGTTGAAGCGTCCGAATCGACTAGAGAAACTCCATTGAAGAAATTGCATGCTTAAGCATGAAAAGGTTATTTGTTAACTTTTGAAGCTGTCACGATTTGGAAGGAAAGTAACTTCCAAGAACAAGCAAGGGTGGAAAATTTCTTTTTCCGTTGTCTGCGCTTCTCTGATTCTGATACGTTTTTCTCCGAACGGAATTCCATAGAATGTATTAGGTAATTTTTTTAAAGTACATATATCATTGTAGCGAAGGTAATTACCAATCATGTGGATATAGTACATCGTAACATATTTCTGCCCGCACATCAACTGTACAAGTCCTTCTTCTGTGTCATATCCACTAATTGTCGAGCGAATCGGAATTGAAAGCTTTACGAGGTCTGACAATAAAATAACGAGACTGTATTTTTTAATAGCTACATTTTTTATATTATTGTAAACTGTGGTGGTCTCCTTCAAAGTAGTTCCTTCTTGCAGCTATACATGAATTCCAGAATTTTCTCCACATGCCCACGCACTTCTGGAAGTCAATCTCCTGCTAGATGTTTAGAACGCCCGTCGTAACCTTCTGAATCTCTTCCACGGTTTCAAAATGTGTTCCCTTGATGTGTTTCTTCACATTAGGGAACAAGGAAAAGTCACACGGAGCGAGATCCGGTGAATAAGGGGGGTGTTCAAGTACTGTAATTGATTTTTTGCTAAAAACTCTTAAACGGAAAGTGCTGTGTGTGACTGTGCGTTATCGTGGTGTTCCACGATAACGTCAAATCCAAAATCCACTTATCTGGAAAAATTCCGGCCTCACACGACGAACCCGCTGTCTCAGACGTTCCAAAACTTCCAGATAAAACTGCTGGTTGACTGTTTTACCAGCAGGAACAAACTCATCATGCACTATCTCTTTGCAGTCGAAGAAACAGAACATCATCGTCTTAACCGGTTAATCGGTTAGTTTTTCTCGAGTTTGATATTTTTGACGAGTGCCCCTAACTGTACTTTAGGTAAAGTGGTACAGCTCTGCAATCACTGCAAGTATCTGCAATCACTGCAATCACTACTAGTTTGTTACTGCAATCACTGCTAGTTTGTTACTGCATAGACTTAAGACATGCACTGACAGGTTACAGCAATCGCCACTATTCTAATGTTGCCACACGCATTACAATGTTGTCAGGCTCGTTATTTTGTCAGACCTCTTACTTTGTAGTTACTTGAGACCTTCATTCCTATCGATTTCTTCCAAACCGATTGTCATACTTTACATCACTTGAGTAGGTGGAGTCATTGTACTGCAACATCGAATACGTCGGTCGGTGATCTTAATGTTAGGAAACTTAATAAGTCAAGTAAGATGCGCCTTGTCCAGACAAGGACGTCGAATGGGTCACTGTTCATCACGCCTTATCCTCACCGTTTGATTCCATTCGGTTCTTCATCGGCCGCTTCAACTCCTCCTCGCAGATGAAAGACTGTCACAAGACAAGCATCCCGGCGGATGTCCTGGGCATGGACGATCGGGAGCTGGCTCCCTCGTCCGTCAACATCACAGCCACCGTGAAGGAGAAGGGGACGGGTGTCCAGTTCACAGAAACCTTGATCCTCAACGTTGAAAGGAATCCCCTTGATATCGACTTGGAGGTCTCCCCAACTCATTTCAAGCCGGGTTTTGTCTACAATGGCCTGGTGAGTTTTTCTAGGTAGCCGAAGTTGAATGAAATTGAGACAGTCACGTTTTTTATTTCATAATTTTGTTCGGGGGAAGCATGTGAACCTGTAACCACATAATTCGAAGGAAATAATGATTTCCACAAGATATCTGTAGTGAAAGTTTCAGTGGCAGTTCAAGCTGGCATCTGGTATGTAGTCTTGAAACTATTGGCATCATTGGCTCCACGCTCGGCTTTTAACAAGTGCACCACGAATGTCCGAAAATCTCGATAAAAGAGTTATGACATCAATGTGATAACTCTTTGAAGAGATAATTTCGAGTTTTTTTCCTCGCTATTGTGAATGTCTGACATTCCGTGTCGACAGGTTAAAGTGAAGGACAGGTCCGGGGCACCCGAAAAGGGTCAAATGATCCAGATCTGCAAGGATCCTTACGGTGAGCGTTTTCTTCAATCCCATCTCAATAGAGTAATCCGAATGATTTAGATTAACCGTCGTTGAATCGATCAGGATCTTCGGATGGGAACAAGGGGAAATGTCGGAATTTCACGACGGATTCTCAGGGCCTCGTCCGATTCCAAGTTCCTCCGCAGGTCCACGACGTGCACTCCATCAGTTTCGAGGTGTATATCATGTTCATATTCCTTTTTCAGTCACGTTCCATCTTGCAGTTCCGTAAAACAAATTTTCACCACGAAAATGTTTGCTTGATTGGAAGTTGGATGATTAATAGGAAAATATGCATGTCAGGGTTAGAGCCGTTAGTAATAAGCATAATGATAACTTCTTTGATGACATTACATAATTTGCTTATGTTTGTCAAAGAAAAAAAGATCATGACCTTTATTCGTCTCAAATTTATAAGCTTTACATAATTACTGATCGTGTTTTACGGCATGGAATAGTAAATACGAGGAGGGTTCAAAAAGTTCCGCAACTCAACACGAAAATATCAAATGACTTTATTATTTAAAACAATTTTATATTTAATCCTTCCCCCCCCCCCCCCCCAGCATCTATACATCACTGCAACCTCACCAGCCAATTCTGGAAAGCTCCATGGTACTCAAATGCAAGGGTTGATTTTAGGGCTGAATTCACTGATTGAGCAAGGTCCTATGCAAATCATCATGCTGTTTGTAAACAAGAACGTTAACAATTGAAACGCCACCACCATTATAAGGAATAGGCTTTGTTGTGTAGATAAGGCCCTAGAAGAACTTCTGGTATTCATTCAAAAGTAAACAAATTTAGGACTCGGGTTAATATATAATTATTTTAATTAATAAAGTCACTTGAAATTTACAAGTTAAGTTGCATACATTTTTGAACCCCGCTCGTAAGAACGCATTCCTTATGTGAAGGACTGCTCATGAGCCTGCATTCCGCTAGGTTTCATCACCCGGGAGACAGAAGAACTACCCCAAAAACCACGACGAAGTGAAGTACCCGTGGCAGAAGCAAATCGATTCGTACAACGCGTATAGGTCGGTGAACGGCTGGTTCTCCCCCTCGGGAAGCTACATCCAGATCCTCCGCAGTTCGACGAAAGGGGAGGTGGAGACGGTGGAGGGTTGCGAGGGTCTCCTCAAGCTGCAGCTCCTCTACTCAAACTCGACGCCCGACGTCCTCCATTATCAGGTGAAACTTCGGATTCGGCTTTCGACTTACGTGTTGCGTAGCGAATGGTCCATCTTGTTCCAACATGTTGTTCAATTCGATGTTGACCATGGTAAGGGTTTGAGCTAAGCGCGTCTGATTTTTATTAATCCTCTTCCTAGAATTTTATCACTCAGTTATCGAATCCATGTTTCTTTGAGCTTCGTGGGTGTGCAACGTGTGTGCAGGTAATGGCCCGAGGGGACATCCTTGCCTCCGCCGCCTTTGATCACAGCTCAGAAGGGGAAGTGGAGGAACTTGGAGACCCAGAGCTCCTCCTCTATAAATCCGATAAGGAGACGCCAGACCCTGGGCTCTTGAGCAAGGCCACCGTCGAGATCCCGGTGACTCCCGAGATGGCACCTGAGAGTAAACTGGTGGTCTTTTACATTAGATCCGACGGAGAGGTGGTGTCCGATCACCTCACCTTCCGAGTGAACCGATGTCTCCCCAACAAGGTTTTCGTTATCTTCACGAGTTCTTGTCGTTTCCGTAAAAACTTCTGGCTAATATGTCTCATTTCATCGTTTCGCTTGGTAGGTGGAACTGGAATGGAGTGAAAAGGAAGTGGGGCCTGGATCGAAGGTCGGGCTGAAAGTGAAGGCGGAGCCGGAGTCAGTTTGTGGGTTGAGAGTGGTGGACAAGAGTGTGGACCTCCTCAGACCGGGGGATCAGCTGAATGTGGACAAAGTGTTTCAGGCTTTGGAGCGCTTCCAGATCTATGACTATGAGTCACCTACCCAGAGCACGGACTACAACTTCTGTCTCAGTCATAAGCCCTCCAAAAATATATCTGGTATGCTAATTCCCTGCTCTTGGCCGTGTTGAAGTTTATTTGGCAGGGACCTCTGTGTGCCGTGTCAACATTTTAGGGATTTTCTTGTGCATTGTACTGAGAGGATGTTAAGACCATGCACTAGTACGCCTTGAATAGTAAGTATCCATGACCAGAGGTTTATCACAATAGCACCAAACGGAAGGAACTATTTAAATAGCGAAAGCAGAAATCTATTGTGTATTGAAAAAAAAACAAAGAAAACGTACCATTTCTCCTGAGAAGAAAGGAGGTTGGTTATCAGTACGCCTCTGTTTGGAATTGCAGAATGTGATATCTGTTGATATAATTGACACCTTGTTTCTCTTAGGCCTGACATATCCTTTAGATCTGCATGCATCGATCGCCAAAAGTGCAAATTATATTCACTGGTAGTTTTCACAATTCACATCGACGAATGGCAGTTTACACGAGAAATCAGTCTGAGAGGGAGAGAGTGTGAAAAATAGTATGAATATGGTATGAACACCTTCATAATCAAGTGAACCAGGATTGCCAAGGATTTAAAATATGATATTTGCTCATAGCGTGAGATTTCAACCAATACATCCGAGCGGAAAGAGTGCAAGGAATCCAGGGGACAGCAAAACCCACCACATTCTCGCATATTTGGCCCACACCTTCTAACGTTTGAATATGGAACACTTAGAGTGGTAATAAAATTCATCCAAGACGTACGTGTATAGAGACCATTTATTTCCTATTTCTCTCCTTTAACACCCGAACCGGCAGTGAATGAAAGCATCATGTGCATATTTTTTTGCATTTTGCATCCCTGCATGTTTTGGATGTCCTGTTTTAGAGGAAAATCGGAAAATCACACTTTTTTCGTCCTGTCATTTTTACTGGGGGGCACTGGTACACCTACCGGTGCAAGAGGGTCCTTGCATGTAGTGACGTAATTTCGAGCCCCTTTCATTACTTTGCACAATATACGGAAGATGTTATACCTTGACATTCAGATGCCTAACCCTGAGATAGCTTTCTTTGGCCGTACATATATCCTATTAAAATTGTTATTCAAATGTCCTATTGGGAGATGAAAAAAATACGAAGTATAAGACAGGACTTCACCATGCGAATGGAAATTTGTCTAACTTGTCTCTCTTTTGTGTTCTTCTGCCATCCAGGAGATTCAGAGATCTTCGGTGGCTACGACTCCCGCAGTCATGCTCTCACATCCTTTGATGTGAGTCGTTGTCACAAATACTTTGTAGCAATGCTGAAATTAGCGGAATATTTTTCCCTTCGTAGCGATCGGGTCTAGTGGTGCTGTCCGATTTGAGCGTCTATACCCTTCCCTGCCGAGCACCTGTGTTCCATTTCAGTCCGCAACTTCGACCTGTAAACGCACCAGCATTTTTGACGACTACAATAGCACCGCCGCCGCCACCACCGCAGACGGCTTTGGCCGACCAAAAGGAGCAATTAGGTGGAGTTCCGACCGAACCGGCACACGAAGATTTCCTTCCTGTTGAGGTTCGCGACTACTTCCCAGAGACTTGGCTTTGGTCTCTCGAGAACATCGGGGAAACAGGTCAGTGGTTCAGTGAGAGAAGATATAATAACAGCAGGTTTTCGTCGCTCTACCTCCGTCTTCTTGCGTCCAGGGGAGTTGAAATTAGAGGATCTGGAAGTGCCGGACACCATCACGGAGTGGGTGGGGTCAGCGGTGTGCAGCTCCCCACTGGTAGGACTGGGCTTGTCTTCCCCTCAATCCCTCCTTGCCTCCCAGCCATTCTTCCTCGACCTCACTCTACCCTATTCGATCAAGAGGGGGGAGATCCTTCCCCTCCCTATCTCCATATTTAACTACAAGGCACATCCGTTGCCTGTAAGCTTATCTCCAATGTCTCTCCCCATTAAAAAAAAAAACATGGTCAAGCATTCATTGCTTTTTTAAATATTGCTTTTTCAACAGATTCGAGTTGAGCTGGAAGAATCCGAGTCTTTTAAGGTAGATGGAGACAAAATGAAGAGCCTTTGCTTAGCAGAGCAGGGAAATGAGGTGGTGACGTTCGACCTAGACTTCCTGGAACTCGGAGAATTGAACATCACCGTTGTGGTTCGGGTCGACCCTACCTTCCCCGATGTTTGCGGGTCAGATGTATTTCCTGCTTTTGCATCTGTCTACTTACTGTTGGGATTCAAGTGGAACTTCTGAATATATGTGTCTGTGAATGCGGAGGACGCCACTTTAGGCCAAAAGTAATTCAGTAATTGACCAGTAACGTAGAAATGTTCGAATTCATTCCAGCTGTCGGGGCGGACGATGGGTATCATTATACTTCTCGTTTCTTGGTTCATGATTCCTCATTTCTTACTAAAATGGAACAATTTTAGCAGCGTCTTGACAGCAATAGCTAAAATAGCGGAGTGACCCAACATCCCAAGATGAGAAGCTGGAAGGTGCTGAGTGACGAATACCGCGACGCACATTTTCAGAGACTGCATTTATATCATTATTGTTTACTTATACTGGGTTCAAGGAAGATATTGGAGATCCGCACAAGAGTCGGATCTTTCTTTTTGCAAGAAAATGTAGACATTAGCAAGGAATGAGGATGCATGTCACAACCTGGAATGGACAAAGCTATAAAGCTATAAAGCAGACAGGAGTGAGCGATGAAAGTCACGAGCCAAACCTACCAGACCTTGGCGGAAAGAGCCTCCAGAGGACATTTGTTACGGTTAGGGAATTAACTTCCTCGCAACTGCATCAGGTATTTCTTTTCAAATCCTGGCTGCCCAAAACCATTCATCCGTGAGGAGAGATTGAAACACCAAGGTAGCATCATACTAAAAAAAAAGAGAAAGTGATTTAATTACCTTGTTTGTTCGTCTCGTGGCCAGACATATCTGAAAATTCTCCTCCTATAACTGGGAATATGAACGGTACTCATTCGAATAATGAATTTGTTTCACTTCCAGTCTCTCGTCCACTGCGGAGTGCACCCCGTTTATAAGTGACGGTATCGTGAAGCCGATACGAGTAGAACCTGAAGGGTTCCCGGTGGAAGAGACGAAGAACTGGTATCTGTGCAGTAAGTCTTTCGTATTCGATGCACATCGAAACATGCACATGAAGCCTTGAAACCTTTGGTTGATATCTAGTCAGGCATGAATCTTTTTTCTCCACTGCAGAAATCGAATTTTCATTCTAAGCGACCGAGACTTTTTCTGAAGGGCTATGACATTTGGCGAACTTATTGACGCTGACCGTATCACGCGGTCATTCATAACCTACTTGTGACATTCTCATTCCACGGCATTTCCAGAGGGAGATGAAGAGGTGAATGTGCTTCACTCGCTTAGCCTGCCGGAGGACGTTGTGCCGGATTCTGCTCGAGCGTGGGTCACCGCCTCTGGTGACCTCCTCGGACCCTCGCTTCAGGTATTTCGTCTCTGCAGACTATATCAGTATTTCCTTTCTCTTGATTGTGTGTTGTCGTTGTGTTCAACGGTATTTCTAAATTAGTGGCCTCCACCGTTATGATTAGTTTTCACTGAGTTGAAAATTGAGAAACCAAAAATTTCACATGGTGGAAGTCACTTCATCACCCTTATTATATCCACACACTGTATTAAGTTTCAACTCAATGCTACGACCAATCGTAGAATGAAAACAAGGTTCAGAGATGCCCAGTGAGTAGTGTGATCAAGGAGGCGATTGAGATTTTGATTGTCTACTCCCCTTCGTCCGCAATTACTTCGCATCGATATAGAATGATAAAACATTTGCTTTATCCACATATTTTGGGGAATTAAATTGCCACTGGTTGCGATGAAAACACGAGTGTTATGTACTATTTTGCCCTACATTCCTGCAGCATAAATCCAAACCGTCGTCTAATGAAATTGTTGCCACTTTTACTCAACATAATTTCTACCTAGTGGAGAGTATTACCCAAGGCGCATATTATATAGTTTTTTTCTATATGAAATCTTGAAAGACAATAGATTGCTGCTCAATTCAAGATTCATACTTTTAGTCACGGTGGTTTCCCATCGGAGCTCTTCACGTTTCCTAGTCGTAACCTGCTTCTATCTCGGAATATGCTTATGCTGCAGGGAATAAAGTCGCTTGTGAGGTTGCCGACGGGCTGCGGGGAGCAGAACATGGTCGCTCTGGCTCCGAATATCTTCCTCCTCCAATATTTCAACGCCACGGATCAACTCAAGCCAGAACTGAAGGCGGAGCTCACCCACAATATGGAGATCGGTCTGTGAAATTGGAATGAACAATGCGATGCTCTCGATGGAGTTGATACATTTTGGTCTGATTAAAGGGTTGATATCTAAGTGGGTATTGCTGTCTTCGATAGAATGCATTATATGCAATCATTCCCAGATAGAATCGTGACAAACCATCCGGTGCATGTCATCTGCTACTTTTTTGCCCCTATTCCTTTTCTTCGTGAATAATATTCTGACGATTCCCTTTTCTCAGGATACCAGAGGGAGTTGAAATACAAGCATGACGACGGGTCGTTCAGCGCGTTCGGGAAGAACGACAAGGAAGGTTCTATGTGGCTGACTGCCTTCGTGATCAAAGGCTTCGGGCAGTCTCTTCCCTTCATCTCCATCGATCAAAGCCAATGGCAGGAGAGCGTCAGTTGGATCATTGAAAGGCAGTTGAAGAATGGGTGTTTCCCAAACGTTGGGAGGGTCTTCACGTCTCGCTATCAGGTTCAGTCACGTTCATATCTTGTGTATTTCTTGGAGAGCCGGAGGACAGGAAATACCTTAAGGGGGAAGTTCTCACTCGTCACTTTCCTAAATTTTCCAGACGATCAGCACAAAACAGAGCATCCCGATGGCGAAATACGAAGAATTGAGGATTACTGACATCATTGCTGCAGTTGATAGAGTTAAATAAATCGGAGCAAGGCTTCAATCTTTCCCTTTTAATTGCAACTGGAACATTCATTTTGCCAATAGACTCAAAATTCACACGTGCTTTTCAACCTGACTATTTCAAATAAACGATTTTGCGGAACTAGAGTTGCTTATACTTCGCACTTTAATTTTCCCTGCGGAATGATGGACAATTTGGTCAGTGAACCATATCGTCCTCGTGGCGTTTCAACTTTGGGCAAGAAAGACATGCTTTCCGCATTAAAACGATTGACTAAACGACTGGGGGCCATATACTCGAAGGGCTAAAAGGTAAATTGGTCTATCTGTAAAAAAAAATAATTATAGATGATTTGGTGCTCATAGTAACTTGTTCCTTTCATTGAAAGTAATAAGTTAATCTTTTACGTAATTCCAAATAACTATTTATCGATACATACCACTTTCCCCTATTTTAATGGGAAAGTCACTGGAATATTTACTCCTTCCGTGAGGAGCTTGAGGAAATAATCCATTGCTGATAGACCTCTTCTTCTTTCAGAACTTCAATTTCTAGTCAACTGGAAATGCTAATTCGAGACTGTGATTCTTTAAGGGAGGACTGGACGATACTGAGGGTGAAGAGGGCTCAGAGACCGGGTTGTCGGCGTACGTCCTCATCTCTCTTCTGGAATCGGGTGCCGCCGTGGTTGATGAAGTGATCCAGAGTGCACTGCAGTGCCTGAGGGGTAACCAGAATCCCTCGACCTACACCCTGGCCCTCACCACGTACGCCTTCATCTTGGCGGGGGAAACCGAACTCGGTGGGATATATATGGACATGCTTCTCAAAAAGGCCACCGAGAAAGATGGCCTTTTTTGGCACGCCTCTCCTGGTGGTAAGAAAGTCGTACTTTGCAACTTCCACTTATAGAATCATGAATAATGTGCTGTTTCGGGGGTGAGTCTAGATCATTAAAAAAAAAAACAGTTATTCTCGTTCTTTCCAATTGCATTTGCTTCCCTGCATATGTATATAGAGCCGTCAGACGCAGTGGACATAGAAATCACATGGAGTCCTCTCACTGGTGAAATTGGATCGAGAAGGCGATTCCAACAGAGCCCTTTCAGCGGTCCGTTGGGTTGCCTCCAAGAGGAATTCAAATGGGGGTTTCACTTCCACTCAGGTCTTCCCAGGCTCCATTTTCCCTCCACTCGGAAGGAGAGCCATTTCTCAACGGCTGGTATTGGGTGTTTCAGGATACAGTGATGGCTTTGCAGGCCTTGGCGCGATACGCTACTCACGTGGGACTGGGAGACGTGGACATGAAGATCCAACTCTCCTCCCGTGACTGGGAGCACACCTTCCATCTCACAGATGAGAATCGTCTTGTCCAGCAGATGACCCCCGTCCCCTCTGTTCCCTCTGAATTCCAGATCTCTTCGGCAGGGAGCGGTTGTGCCCTCGTCCAAGTCTGTTTGATTCTTTACTCTAATATGCGAACCATCGCACAGTGAGTCAAAACAGGACCAATTCTGGTTAACAGTCTAAAAATCAATTGGAAGTTTTTACATAATGCTGACTTGCTTTTGTAGAGAAATGTATAAAGATACAAAAACGAAAATCTTAGTTTTCCTATGTCCTATATCCTATATCCTATATATATCCTATATCCTCGCCATAACAGGTTGATTCCCTGGTAAAATCTTAATGTAATTTTCGATTTTAAAATATTCGGAAATGTACCTTTAAAAATAGAGCTTTTTTAGCTCCATCCAACCGGGTATTACCCTCAAGTGTTCTTCTTCCCTAAGATATCTGAGTTTAAGGCCAGAAAAATGGGTCATTTTCTCTCTGTGCATCAATGGCGCTTCAGTGGTTCTCATGAAGTCCTTCGTAGGCAACGCTGAGGTACTCGGTGTTTGGTGAACCCAAGAAGCGGGGAATGGGGCTTATCGTAGCAGAGACATCTGATGATGCACTGAAATGCGATAAACGGGTGATCCAAGCCTGTGTCATGTATTCCGGACCAGCCAACACTTCCAACATGGCTCTTCTCCAAGTCTCCATGGTATCAGGTGAGTGTAATGATTCTTTCTCGAGGTGTCTGTTTTTCAATAGCAAAGAAAAAAAAAAAGCAATTTGACTTCCCAGTCTAAAAATATTATCTTGAAATGTTCTTCGCATTGTAATGCAAAGGACAAATATACCAATTGGAGAGGGAAATGGTTTCAATTATTGGGAGGAGGAGTGTTTTCATTTCCAGGGATGTCCCGGAATGACGTTTCCAAAAAAAAAGTCTGGCGATTTTTGACCTACTTCTAACTATTTAGGTAAAACTGTGTCTGTCAAAATGGGAGTAAGTAAAATAATTCAAGTTCTTGCCTACATGAATATTTCTCTTTGAAGAAGTGAATGAGATGATCGGAGAAGTATATCACAGTTCCTTTTTTCGAATGAAACAGGTTTCAAGCCAGAAGAAAACGCCCTTCAGGACCTTCGCTCTCAGTCCCGAGGTATGTCATCCATATTCGGTTGAAAATTCTAAAAACAAAATAGGAGAGGGAAAGAGCATGGCTCTGTTTCAGGAATGATGAAGCGCTTGGAGGTGAATAAGGAGACTGGGGAGCTGGCCGTATACTTCGACCACTTGGACAAGGAGGGTTTCTGCCTTGATATCCCGATCGTTCGTAGTGTTACTGTGAAGAATTCCAAGCCGGCCCTCGTCAAGCTTTTGGACTATTATGCTCCCGAGATCCAAGACACTGAGGTAGGTCATGTTGGTTTGTTCCGGCTTCCACTTAAATTCATTGAACTCTCTATGACTATGACTTAAATTAGTTTTATGCCGAAGACAACTTGCAATTTTCCCAGTTGTTCTACTCGTCATTCTCTTCGCTGAAGATTCTTATCTTCTGGGTGACGAGAATTCCCCCACGTATTGTAGCTGTGCAGAACAACTGTACTAGCTCAGAATAACGTCTAATCATGCAATGGGATACCATTCCATCTCAAGAGACCCTCGCCTTTTTAAATAAGTCTGTAAGCGTTGCCTTCTTCATTGCAATGTATCTTTTCATGCAATTTTTTTTTACCAATGAGCAATTTGGGGCGATCAGCTACTTTCTGCATACCGTTACTTCATGGATATTCTGTCGCAACACGTTAATTTTAAACTCATTCTAGAAGCTGAACCCTACGCAGTAAATTTATCTGAGAAATTAGAATAAAACATGCATTGACAGAAATTTTGAAGGTCGAATTGAATTGAATTAGGCTAAATTATTATTTTGATTTGAACAATCTAATTGAATCCGCATCCTTCTGTTAAGTGTCACACTTGATTGTCTGAAGCTCACGTCGCGCATGCAATGAAAGCAATGCTGAATGCATCTAAACTCCATGGCGTAAGTTCTAGATTTGAAATCCTATTTGTCAAACGTAAACATATTTTCGTGCGGTTTTCTCGCCACCCGACATGTTTCCATGTTCATCTGACATCCCCCATGTTTTCACAGTTATACGAGATCGGCGAGTGCACCGGGGACGGAGAGGTCTCCAATTTAGGAGAAGTCTCAAATTTCGGAGAAGTCGAGGGCATGCTCCCCAATGTGGATATCCGATCCCATTAACTGATTTAACTCGAATTTAATCCTGATCTTTTATGCCTCTTTGGAAATGAATGCAGCCCGAATTGCAAACTCTGTCTCTTCCATTCATAACATCACATACTTGACATTAAACAAATTTATCGCTATGACTGCTGTGAGACAAATATCGATAAAACATAGTCCTTGATGACATGCTGAAGAATGAGAAAACAGGTAAACCTGCTTTTTTTCGGAATTAATTTCCTTATTTCTTGTGTTGGTACAAATGAGATACCTAAGAGTCTCTTCTGATTAGTTGTTGTAATCCCGATACCTGGCGTTCCTTCGTAGCTGAGATGATGAAATCTTTCCCGGCTACATTCCATTAATTATCAATGCATTCTGCATGGTAGGTCACATGATAAAGATTGAAGTGTGCAGTTCTGGTTGCGTTTGATCGTTTCTAAATGTCACGGCGCTCTGCAATTTAAAATGCTTTTTGGGGTAAGATTAATTTTGAACCAATGAAATGCGACAACATGCCATTATTAGCACGTCCCACAGAACGTATTACTTCCATGCTATTTCCGAGAAATAGGTGAGTATATATGTATACCGAGATGCAATGGGAGGAGAAATTGATACAGACAAACCAAAATTTTCCTTTGATGGCAAATCGTACCTGGATGGCAATTAGTAGTTCCATCATATTTCATGAATGTGTGTCTCCCATACTTAATGAAATACATAATCCTCAGGAAAACTTAAGCCCCGGAGAAGCGACGGAGCTTCCCATTTTCCATCATCTTATTGTAGCGTTAAAATACCATGAGTTCTCATGCCTTGTACGGGGTGTCCCAAAAATACCTAGTACATTTTACTTTAAAATTTACTAATACAGAAATCACGCATATATCCCTTGCTATTCACTGCTTGTTAAATGTTCAACGTCATGACTCTTTTTATTTTGGCATCATGTTTTCATAAAACCCAAGTCAGTTCCACAGATGCTCAAAAAAAGCCAACCTTCAGCATTTACGCACATATATGTTAGGGACAGATTTGAAAATGTATATTAGTGCACATATATTTCGAGTTATCACGTAATGCAGAATCAATTTTAGTCATCTTAAATCAATTGACCTGCGATGACGCCAGAAGTCTCATCACATTACGTTGGCACATCTTGGGACTGATTTCATTGACCTACTAAAATCAATCCGTCAATTCAGATAGCTATTCAGAACTAGGGAAAATAACTCAAATGTTGCACTGTTGACGGTGCTAGCATCGGCAAGTAAATGTAAGTGTCTACGACCTTGAGCGGCAATGCTTCCAGTTCCAATAATGGGTTTTTCAGTGTCACATCTAAATGCAGGGTGCTCCAAAAGTTTCTGACCTATTAAAATGAAAATAGAGGCGATATTAACAGGAATATTTTTTATTTAATTACATTCTACATGTTCAATAATATTATAGGTACCAACTCCTACAATATTACTTGATGTGACTTCCTCGTACCCGCAGGAACCTCGGATCAGCGTCCCAAAGTACTCAACAAACCGACGGATGACGCTCTTCGAGTTAGTTCCTCACTCCACTGAGAACCCCGTAAATGGCTGACGTTCGATTTCTGGGATGGAGCTGACGCAGAACACTCTGCTGGAACCTGTGGCATATGTTTTTCAGGTGTTCAGGCCCAGGAAGTTCATTAGTAACGTCTTCTAGACCTGTACAAAAGTCTCTTCGATGGCGTGGAACTCAACGACAGCCGTGTGGCATGGGGCTCCATCCTGCATCAACAACTCCTTTTCAACAACAACCAACAACCGACCACAGCGTGGTCATGGAAAATGAAGAACAGGGAAATTATTACCCAACGGAGTTCATCAACAGACTTACTCAAGCTGGGCTTGCCCCCCATGAATTTACTTTAAAGCTGTAATCGCCAAGGTCATCAGAAACCCAAATGATAAGCAAGCCTGCTGAACGGAGTTCAAGTCTTACTTGTGGGACAAAGTGAGAACTTCACCTGAAAAATGTTAAAATCGTCCATACATTGTAGCCATCTCATCTATGCTACATGAAAAGAGACGAAACCATGAGAAACGTTTTATGAGCTCTTCCAAATTTCAAAATAGGGTTCCTTAGGCGCCAGCCCTGCGTTCCTGTATTCTCCGAATGGGTCATGTCCGTTGCGGACTTGCAAGAACAACTCGAATTGTTCCCTTTCTTCTTGAAGTATTTTTACTCTCTCAGCGTATCCTGGCTTATTTTGCTGCATCTCCGATTCTATGAGCAAGTCGTAATATTCCAATGCCGACAAGGGGTCGGTTTTCAAGGCGATCTCCTCCAGCTTCTGCAGAGACTCATGAGCCTCGAGAATCATTTGGCACACTTGACGCTCTGCCATTAGAAAATTTTCATTAAGCTTCTCGATGATTTGCTTGACTGTTACCTTTCCTTTTATGCCATCCTCGTAGCGTTTCTTAAGATCCTCGGACGTTTTCTCCACTTCCACTTCCTGCCGTGCGAATTTGTACGGGTTGTTGACGTGTGCTTTCCATTCGCATTTAAGAGGACAAACTTTGCAAAAGCCTTTCTTCATCGCCGAGCATTTGTGCTTCTTATCGTTTTGAGCAATCCCGCACGGCAAGTGGCATGTAAAACTGCATTTGAGGCAATTGGTCAAAAATACACCCTTCTCCAAGGGGATTTTCTGCTGACGCATCTCCTTGATTATGAACTTGAAGTTCTTGCTTGCATCTACTTGTTCTTCAAATTTCTCCAGAACATCCTTCTCTTGTCGCAGCTCCTCCAGCTTTAACAAACCTTAAAGAAACTGCGACAATCTTGTCTATAACATAAGTAATCTTCATCTAGCAGGGAAAATGTCGTGCATATAAAAGCATACAGCATTCCTTAGCAATAATTCCTTTCACCATGAGAGAAAATGTTTTTACCATGTTATGCAGAATCTAATATGTATAGACGATCGTGACTGACTCACGCTAATTCCAACCATGTTCCAGAAATGTAAGAAATCTGAAACTTGGTACACATGTACCTTTTGGGGTGCAGAGTTCAGACAAAATCCGACTTTGGAGGAACATGCCCTGGGGGTTCACATTTTGGGGGAGAAGTTTTTTTTAAATATATATCGTGATGGAAAAGGATGTCATCTAGAGATACTACACTATGTCACCGTATCCGTGGTGTAGTGGTAGCACATCTGACTGATAATCGTGAGGCCTGGATTCAATTCCCGGCCATTCCATGCCTTTTTTGGCTTCTCTTGCCTTCCATGTCCCGTTGCTTGAATAAAACGGAGAGACATGGAAAGCTGGAATGTGGCATGGACGTGCCTACCGACACGATGAGTTCAGAAAAAATGCAACATTTTAGATCCATGCCCTGGGAGCATATTTTTTGGGGCCGACGTTTTCGAGTATTTTTTTGTCCTTGTGTATTGAGCTAGTGTGGAAAGATGAAACTTGGTACATAATTACCTACCGGGATGCTGGGTGCAGAAAAATTCAGACTTTGGAATGAAATGCCCCGGGGGCATGAATTTCAAAGGGAGATGTTTTCACATAATTTTTTTGCATTAGTTGAACCAATGGACACGGAAAGCTTGAACCTTGCATGAATGTGGCTACCAAGATAAGAAGTTAAAGAAAAATGTTAAGATACATCCCCAGGGGAAAATTTCTCGAGGGGCAATGTTTAAAAAAAAAGAAATTGTCGTGGAGAATTGGACAGAAATGGAAGGGTGAAACTTGGCACACGTATAAGTGACATGATATTACTGAGCTGAGGGAGTATTCAGCTTTAATGGTGCATCCCCTCCGGGCATAGCTTTTGGGTGAGTCAGCTATTCCAAACATGTATTTTCACCAGCAAAAAAGGCAAACATATAATATTGAAACTTTGTGGGCATGAAGTTCACTGTGGATGGATTTCAGTAAAAAAAAAAATATGGTACTTTTCGGTTAAAGGGCTCAGGGCACATATTTTGCAAAAGGCGTTTTTTCACGAATTTTCTGATCCAGCAAAATAGAGGGTTTATGAAAGTTTAAACTTGGCAAAGTACCTGATGGATTGCTGAGTAAAAAAAAATTATACTTTTACTATATATAGACGATCGTTAGTAGCTGACTGACATAAGTAGCTAATCACATGCTGAGTTCAGGAAAAGTTCTACTTTGGTGATGCATGCAATAGGGGCACACCTTTCGGGGAACATATTTTCAAATAGTTCTCTTTGCTTCAATCAAACGGAGACACATGGAAAGCTGAAACTTGGCAAGAACGTGACCGTTGACGCACTGAGCTTAAATGTCAAATGTCAAATTTCCAACTTATTTTTTTGGGGTCCATATTTCTTGTGGGACGTAACGTTTTCGAAGAATTTTTCATGTCCCACCGAATCGGGCAGAAATAGTTAAGTAGCTGGCGCACTCATAACGGACGTGATGTTGATTTAAGGAAAAATTCAACTTTTTGTGCGTTTCCTCAGAGCACAGCTTTTGGGCGGGTCGCTTTTCCAAATACATAGAAGGACTTGGGTTGATGCGTATTCGTATGCTTGTAGATGCGAATTGGCTTCATATATTTTTGTTGCAAGGAAGTGGCAAGGAAGATTTACCCTCGACTTTCCGATTTAGAGTGCTTATGTCCAATGCAAGACGCTTGGACTGATGCCATTTCTGTGCTCACGCTTCAACTAAGCAGGAACGTAAATAGCCATAAACTGCCTTCATGAATGACGGATTTTCTCTTGAACAACTGTATATAGTATTAGATAGTGCTAGAAAAAGGGATTCCATAAATGTACTTGTGCGATAATATAGATATGAAGATACCGAAAGAACTCATAATACAGTGAACGTAGTCTATAAAGAGTTATTGCGTTAAAACTTTCAAGTGGCTTATTTAGTTCATGTGGCTGCTATTCCTCTCTTATACATTGTTAGAGATTGATATAGAATCAATAGTGTGTCGATCATAAACAGAGATTGAATACACCAATTAAACACTAAACGACGCACTGACAAATGTTACTCGGTGATCCTCATGCACAAGTCACGTGGCGTTAGTAAGAATGTGTTCTCAGACACCCTTTTTTTTTAAGGTGTCAGAGCCAAAGGTGTTGGAATTGAACCCGTGAGCAAAGGAGTTTGACCGCATTACTAGGGGTGAGCATCGAAAACGGATGCCTTAAAATAAAATGTATTAGTAATTTCCTTAGGCCACAGAGCGCCGAAGGCGCGTCATGCATGTCATTGGTGCTGCTTATTAAGCCCATTGTCCGCTTGAAATTTGCAATTTTTTCGTTTTTAGATGCCATTTTTGGTGAATGATCGGGTCGAAGATTGCTGCATGATATGAATGAAGAAAATGTCCCGTGATTGTACAGCGAAAGTTTCGTACAGAATTCGGTCGAGATCCGCTTTCTCGCATTAGCATTATCAAGTGGCACAATGCTTTAATGGAAACTGGAAGTGTGCGAAATGTGGTAATAAAACTTTCAAGTAACACATTAAAATAGCCAAGAAGGTGGTCTCTTTTTTGCCACTATGGCTACTGAAATTGTTATTCCAATAATTGACGCTTTGTATTTCAAGGTAAATGTTTGTGTTTCTTAAGAAGAGATTTTTTGTGGAGACGTGTTCAATTTGAAGACTTCGATAAGGAGACAAAATTACTAGCAGTTATTTGGGGTTGAAGTCCGTTGATGATGACTTCTAATTTGCCCCTCTACTCTTGCACTTCTCTCGTTAGGTGCAGACTCACTGGTTTTGCCATTGCGAACTTTTTGAAGAAGGATGTGAAGCTTTTCATGCCCATCTTCCACATCAACGTATTAAATTCAAAATTTTCTTCATCCTTGCTAGCAAATACTGCTGCATTGTTGAACTTGTACACTGACGTATGGGGGATATTCGCCGCCTTTCCGACATCCAAAGCAGGTGAGCGATTGCCGTCAGCGAAAGTCAGCATCAACTGGTAGGTGGCCGCCACATCCTTTTCAAAAATAGCCTGGATGGAATCAAATATGTATTTCTGAGTGGGTGTCAGCCGTGCTTCAGGTGCCTGGATGACAAATCCAACAGCTTCCACTTGCTCGATGCAAAGAGGACCTCTCCTGTTAAAGAATTCCTCCATCTGGCGAACGATTTCCCTGTCGGCCATAATTCCAGACGTATCCCCAAATCCGGGTGTGTCAACTATGGTTAACGTGTATAATAATTCGAAGCCGTCTTGCCAGTAGAGAGTATATGCTGCAATGTTCTTCGTCTGGCTACGGGTCCTGTTTTTTTTCCTCCTCTTCGATAATGATTTTGAAGCGGAAATTATCGGTCCACTTCACCCCATATAGATAGTTTACCATGGAATTAACCAGAGTGCTCTTCCCTGCGGGAGTAGGAAACGGTTGATTATGCCTTCAAATAAGTATTTAAAAAGCATTCATACCAGGTAGACCTCTATGCAAGGTGAGGAGAAAGACATTTGCTATTCTAATCACTGCATGGCGTTAATGAGACCGTAAATTTAAAGAAAAAATTCAGTTAGGTAGTTAGGTTAGGTTCAAGGAAGTAACGAGCTCGGCTCTCGTGGCAGGGAACCTGGTTTCAAACCCAACTACGTCCGACGTTAATTACGAACGAGCTACCGACAGCGTTACGACATTCCACATTTAAGTAACCAATGTCGCACTGGAGTCCCGTGTTTCACTCCAGAGAGTAAATAAAAAGTTCCAAGTTGTTATGGGTAAAACACCTGTCGATTTCGTTGTTGGAGGAACAGGGGCCCGAGCCACTCCCTCAATCCAGGGCTTGACAGCGTCTCGGCTCGGGGGAGGCCGAACGTGTTCCAGCAAGACTCTGCTCCCTCTCACACAGCCAGCACGACCCAGGAGTGGCTGGCCGAAAATTTTCACGATCATGTTACCCCTAACATTTGGCCTCCTAGCTCTCCTGATTTAAACCCCCTGGACTACTACGTCTGGGGCGTCGTTGAGAGGGAGACCAACAAGTATGCCTATAATACCAAGGATTCGTTGAAGGCTGCCATCGGGAACATTATGGCAAACATAAATAAGGATCACCTGATCAACGCATGTAGTCGTTTAAGAAGCCGCATCGAGGCCGTAATCGAGGTTGAAGGCGGTTTTATTGAATAGTCTTTTGCTATATGTATAACGAACATGTGTACCAAATTCTATTAAAATTAATTGGTTTTTGTACTGAATATTTTTGTTTTCCTCAAAGTCAAATTTTGTTCTCAAATAGCTGACGCACCCTGTACATGTCGAAGAGCTTGTAATTCAAAACTTTCCGATAGAGAGACACGATGCACTCTCCAAGCATATAAATAATCATGCCTGGGAACTGGTATGTTTTCCACTGACGTATTCTGTATTTCAGTACATCAGGGGTAACGCCAGAGATTCGCTCTACACACAGAAAAGTCGTAAATATGAAAAAATGTATAATTTGAGCTCGATTGTTAAGGAGGATATGGGAGAAACTCGTATAGATCCTAGTCACGTACGGACAACGTTATTGAAAATACATCTTAATATCAAATATACAAATTGTCATATGCCACTTTTATGGTTTTTCTTAGGCAATGACCTGTAGTTTCAATTATCTAGCATCTTCCTGTTTGAGTTTTGAATTTCAACCTTAACAGACGTGGTAGCAAAAAGGTGACAAAGCACATTACCTTCGTTCGTTTTCGTCTTTTTATTCACATGAGGGCTACTTACCTGATCCAGTTGCACCAACTACCAGAATTGTCCTCTCAGGCTTCCGTGGGAAGACGGGTTCGCCAACCTCATACTTCATCAACTTGTTTGTTCCCTGATCCTTGATGTCTCTCAAAGGTAGCTTTTAGAGTGCCACAGTTCCTAGTGGGTCGACTAATGTAGATGTTTCTCCATCTCCCAAGTGATCCGTTAGAGGCCATGGGATATTGGAGGTATGAAGTTAAATATTCAGTGAAAACTTACAAGGTTTAGATTTAAAATGTGGAGCCTTAACTTCTTGGGTGACCAAGACCAAACGTTTTCGGTTCGAACGCATCACCATGACGAAAATATTTGCTCAGTTCCTCAGATAGACAAGTTTGTTTTTTTTTTGCCGGTCTGTAACTGCAGAAAATTCAATATTGAAAGTTTGCCCTTTCGGTCTTGATTACCTTCAATGAGTTCGGATTGTTGGAGAAGCTTCTCAGCCAGCCGAATCGGATGGAAATCTTCCATCTCGATTGGCCCATTCATTTCACTGTCCTCGCTCTCACCAACTGAGCAAATACTTCGAGCCTGTTTCAGAAGTAAGAAGACATGGAAGATACCTTCATATTGACATTGCCGTACCGTGGGGTGAGTTGACGCCACTTTACTACTTTGATCTAGAGTTCCTGGAAGGATACAGAAATGTTTCATGTGATATTTTCCCCAAACTGTAATGTGCATCAGTCGATGTAATTGGTTTCATTAATACTTATAGAAAAATGTTTCTCGATTCATGACTTAAGAAAACGAGTGATAACCTGGAAAAGTAGTGTCGTAAGGTCGTAAGGTGAGATGATTCCTTTTAAAAAGATGAGATGTTTCATTCCTAGAGAAGAAGTGATGAACATGTGACCAATAAATAGGTTCTTTTGACCAATATAAGTTCTGGACTTGCATATTATACAAATAAGTTTTCATTTATTTACTTCTTCATCTATTATTTTTATCAGTATAGAACAGGTATGGCTCCATACATTTTCTAGTTAAATGTTATTAAATACTCGTGCCTCAAAAACGGTCCCATACATAACAGAAAAAAGGAATCGCAAATTTAAAGTTATTGCATAGATTTCCATAGGTTGCGGTGCTGGTCATTGTGCTCGTTTCTCTTTTATGATTTTGACCTTTTCTGGCACATCACAAACATCACTGGCAAATGAGTTTGGGTGGTTTGATAACAAAGAACGTCCTCAAGCTCAGAGTCCCGAGTGTCCTCCTTGTCAGGTCCCCTACAGGTTGATCCTAACATGCTTAGGACTCTTATGTTTAATATGCCCCCAAGTACCGTTATTGCGTTTACATTTATGCTCATATCTAATTAGTCAAGGTATTAAGTTTGATTTATAACTTCTAAAAATGCCATAAAACATGTAACACTTACTTGAAATGTAAATCTAGAATATGATAATGCAATAATGTGGCACTTCAGCTTGTAAAAGAAGTAGATCCCTTTCAACCTGCTGTTAACAAAATGTGAAAACGGAAGGAAAAAGGAATATGTGGATAATTTTTCATTAGCAATAAAAGCATGATTGACCATCGATTAAGAAGACTGGAAGGAGAATAGTATTTGGGTCTAACATGTATATGTGAAGAGTTTAAACCCTAAAAAATAGGCTTGTTTTGAGTATAAAAAATATGGCGGATGACGTAGTAGTTGATATTAATTTTTCATTAATAAACAACCGTATTTCATATAATAGCATGAAATTCATCAATTTTTGCTGAAAGTACTGGAGAAAGCAGGCCGAAAAATCCTTAAGAAACACTGGAATCTGTAGTTTTTTTTGGTTATTGGATTTTCCTTGTTTTTAGATTCATCTCACTTTCCTGGAGTCATCACATCCCATTCTACTGTATATATATTCAAAGTTGGAACAATTTAAAACCGAGTGGAGGAAACAATCATTTCCATGCAATCTGGTTCATTCAGGTGGAATTATTGAAGCTGCTTGAAACTCACCTTCCACTCGTACTTTGTTTTAGGAGTGAGGCCAATGATTAGGGCATCTTCCTTCTTCTCATTTATCTTTTGCTCATGCCATTTCTCTTGACACTCGAATGGTCTAAAGGACACCAAGTATCGTTCCTCTGATTCCGTTCCATAGGTGGGCGGTTCCCATGAAAGTTTCAAGGTATCGTGTTTAACAGCGAGAACCTTTAGGCCTTGCGGCTTCCCCGGTGGAACGAAAGGTGTTGGAACCCCTGCTTCATAAAGAAGGATGTCATGAGACTTATTTACATGACTTTCCTCTGTCACTACGAACTTCAAGTGATTCTGAGACTTGTTAGCATTGAAAAAAGCTAAAAAATTGCAGGAGGCTCCTTGCAATGTCTGCACGATTTTTCGATCCTCATACCAATTTTTGGGGATTCCCTTCTCCAAACAGGAGCTGCCAATGTCTTTTCGCTTCAAATATTCGGACATCAGTTCCAAAACTGCATTTGTTTTTGGGACGACTTGGAAGATGAAGCAGAGGGCATTCATCCTCAGGTCGTTTACAGCGGTACAAAATTCACAAGGGGAAAAGGCGTAGGTGACTTCCTTGAAGAATACAAGGTACCGTTCCAGGATGCTTTTCACCTTCTCTTTTCCTGTCAGCCAGGAGGAGAGTTTTTCCTGATTGAAAGGAGTGGCTAGCTTTTGCTGGATGAGATGGGAGAGGGAAGTTTCTTCGGTGCTGGAACTGCGAACTGATTTTAGCATTGGACTTTCTTGGAAATTTGCCTTGAATCTGTCCAGGTGTGAACAGAATACATCCAACTGAGAATGGATACCCGAGAAGTAATTGCACACCTTGGATTTCGCCAAATCGTTCGCCTTAACTTTCATGACATGCAAGGATTCTAGAATCTCTTCCACATCTTGGATAATTCCAGTGTTAATTTCCCGAATCAATTTTGCAGCTCTGTTGTACAGCTTATGAAGTGGAAAGAGATATATTCGTTTTGGTAGACTGCCTTTCCCGGAGAGCGTCGGGAGTTCTTCATATACCTTGAGGGCTTCTTGGAAGGTGGTCGGGTTTTTCGGAAGGAGGATGTCGCCATTATGAGTACAGCGAAGCAGATACGCTTCTTGTTTTCTGGTTCCTCCACTGCGACTGATGCATGTGACTCGATTGGAAAAGTTCCTGCAACATACGAGTTTCTTTGCTTTTTTGTGAGCTATTTCCATATATTATGTAATCCAATGTTTTTGGGAGTCTCACTTACTTAAGCTGCTTATATCTATATATAAATATGTTCACTTTTTTCATGAATGCATCATGTATTTCCATCCTGCTCTTTATGGTAGGAACAGTCAACTCGTTTCTCGAGTTGACTGTTCTATCTCTCTATTAAATTATTTATGAGGTTCCCCCTCATTAAACCTTTTTCTTGTGAGTACAAACCCAGCACTCTCAAATATTAATGGCAAGTTATCTTACCTCTCTGATCCTTTCAGCAACCCACCTCTAAACCTGCCTCCAGGTTCAATAAATCCTTCTGATTTATAGACTTCCGAATTTAAAAGCAATGCCATGAATTAGGCTTTACTGCTGCCACTGCAAAAGGATAACCCGCCTGGAGCTGGAATGCTATAAAAAGTATAGATTTTGTTGCTTGCGCATGCTCCTAGAATTACTTTCCCAAATAATCCTACATCTTACGTTTATATATTTCCAACTAAATACTTTTTTACATGACATTATCCTGGATATCGTCCATGAAAAACGAGCCTGATATTTTTCGAAGTTTCAGTACCCTTTAGGATGTCGACAATGGCGTTCATTCTTCCTTCCATATCTCTGACTTTCTCTTCAAATGTGATCTGTCTATCAATGACGAAGAAATCATCGGCTCCATACTGAATCCCAGTGACGACATGGGTAGCTATGTCCTTGTTGAATACATCTGGGTGGTCTATTCCTTCCGTTCTCAATTGTTCCATGGTCAAAGACTCATATCGGCTGGTGGACTTATATTGAAGAGTTATACGGGCTTGCTGAGAAGAGGACTTTCTATCGTGAAGGTACTTCCCTGAGCCGGCAATATGAATCACACAAGTTAGTCCATTATAATGAATTCCATTATTATTGTGAAGATATTACAATATCCGAAAGCATTTTGATTCTGCAAATGGAGCCGTATCAGGGGAAAGTTATGTACTGATTTTCTTTCCATTAGTCTCAAGATTTCTGGAAGAAAAACTGTGCATTTGATGATTTTGCAAAGGCAGCATCTTCTTGCTCAAGAGGCAAAGTAAGAAGCTCGATGAGACGTATTGCAAATTATTACTGGTGGAATGCTTGGTAACCATGATATAAGTGAACTATGAGTATTCATGGTGACACTAAAGTCAGGGCACTTTGTGCATTATTCTACATATACCAGTTGCACAGTGAGTATTGGGAGACCATGGATAATAGGGAAACATACCATATTTTCCCAAGAATTTAACAAGGTTTTCCAAAGAATTCCAATTCTGAAACTACATTATTATTCGAATTTCACACATTTTGTGTCCTATATATAAGTCCTTCCTGTGTGAGCGTCGAATGGAGATTCAGCAGCAAATAGGTGGATGCATCCAATTATCTGCCAAGCTTCTTTAAAATATCAGTTCCTTTCCGAAAGTAAATAAGTAAAAACTTCGACATCCTTAAAGGCTTTTGAGATTGCTTTAAAATTTTGATTGAGGAAACGGAAAGAACCTGCGATGAAAAACTTTAAGGTTAACGGGCAAAATCAAATGACGGTGTCGTTCTGAAGCAACAGAAAAAAACAGCAAAGGCTGTTACATGCTGGTTATGCAAATCTTTCTCGAAAGAATCAACGGAGATCTTAATATGGTTAACCTTTTGACTGCTACTGACGCCATATGGCGTTTCCGCACTTTCCGCATTTCGTATGCGAATATTCGTATGCAAACGCAGCTGACGCCTTTCATACCCCACCTGCCATCTTCTGGGAGGTCGGTTTAGTATCGCATGCGGTGGCAGCTTCGCGTGTCAGTCCGTGGCGCCATCCACGGGCGGGGTTTTAAACTTTTAAATGCTCCTCTGGCGCATGTGTGCTAAATTATTTTTCCCAATTCCCCACGCAGCGCCAGTATCGCATGCGGTGGCAGCTTCGCGTGTCAGTCCGTGGCGCCATCCACGGGCGGGGTTTTAAACTTTTAAATGTTCCTCTGGCGCATGTGTGCTAAATTATTTTTCCCAATTCCCCACGCAGCGCCGTGCTCTTTTATTTGTAAACCCAGAAGCGTAATGGCGACAGGAAGGTTGAGTGATGCAGAGGTGTCCAAAATATTATTAGACGACTATTCTGCCGACGAAGATCCCGAGTCGGAAGGCGGGAGTAACGATGAAGGGGACTTCGGCGATTCCGATGATGATTCCTCAATGCCACCAGCATCACCATCAGCAGGGACATCTTCAGCACCACATGTACCACTACCCCATGTACCACCCCCAAAAAGAAGAAAGGCGACACCAGCTGAGCAATTGAGCTGGAAATTAACAGGTGACTTTTCACCCCACCTGTTTGGTTTCAATGACACAGATGCCGGCATTGCCGACTCTGCTGATGTAAATAGTGAATGTGCTGAGGCAGATTTCTTTGAACTAATTATGAACAGTGATATTATGGACATTATTGTGGAGGAAACGAACAAATATTATGACTTTGCAATGCAAAATCTTAATGTTTCACAGAAGTCTAGGCTTCAGAAGTGGGTGCCAACAAATGTGAATTAAATATATTCATTTCTGGCCACCTTCATGCTAATGTCCCACACAAAGAAGAACCGGATCAGTGATTATTGGAGCAAGGATGCATTGATTGAGACACCGATGTTTGGCAGACTCTTATCTCGTGACAGGTTCATCTTGCTGCTCAGGCTGTTACACTTTTCCGATAATAATCAGCAGATCCCTGGAGACCGATTGCACAAGATTAGGGCAGTTTTAGGCCATCTGAAACTGAAATTTCAAGATCTTTTCAAGCCATTCAAAAAGGTCTGTATTGACGAGAGCCTCATGCTTTGGAAGGGGAAACTCTCGTTCAAGCAGTATATACCGTCAAAGCGCCATTGCTTCGGTCTCAAGTTGTTTATGTTGTGCGATTGCAAGACGGGCTTTGTGCAGGACCTGATTGTTTATACAGGCAGTTCTACTGAGATCAACGTGGACAAAGACCTAGGCATCTCGGGATCTGTAGTGAAAGAGCTCCTGCAACCATACCTAAACAAGGGGCACACATTATACGTCGACAATTGGTATACTAGCCCGAAGCTGTTTTTGTATTTACATGATAATGAGACCGGTGCTTGTGGCACTGTAAAGGCTCGACGGAAATTGATGCCAACGTTCAAGAACTTGCAGAAAGGTGAGGTGGATTCCAAACATTGTGGTCATTTGCTTGCTATCAAATGGCATGATAGACGTGATGTCTACATACTGACCACTGTAAATGAAAATGAAATGGCGAACACTGGCAAACAAGATTACTCCACAGGTGAAGAAGTTCAAATGCCAAGTTCGGTTCTTGATTATAATGCCAATATGGGAGGAGTGGACAAAACAGACATGCAGTTGTCATCTGTCGAGTGCATCCGCAAGTCAGGGAAGTAGTATATAAAATTCTTCTTCCACCTGCTCGACCTTGTCGTCTTGAATGCCTACACAATGTATCAGATGAAGACAGGGAAGAAACATGAATTAGTGGACTTTAGTAAAGAACTGATTAGACAGTTGATTGAAAGGTACAACACACCCAGGACATCTATGAAGGGCGGTCGTCCACCTAGCGACACTCCCTTACGCT